TATAGTTATTTTTTCTCTATGGTTGTTATATATATTTACCTATCTTCAGGTCGTTAATGCAATTAACGAATTCTAGTCGTGTGATTGCTTTTGTAAAATCGAATTACGTAACGTAACATTTTTTTCGAAAAATTTGCAGGTAATATTAAACATTAGCAGGTAATATTATACATGCTTTCTTTTACTGTCAACAATTTATTTGATTGTCAAATTTTTTTTACTTGCAGATTTTGATATTGATTTAATATTAATATTGATTCTAAAATCGGCCATGATTGTTCGTCCACGAAATTGAAATAAAGGCATAAATTTCCATGAATATACAACGATATTATTTTACTCACGTGTTGGCGATAGTCTGCAAAGTTGTATTACAATGTAAGTGAAACTTTATGTTAATCGTTTATTTGACATCAAAACTTTTCGACACTCTTTATTCCGCTTTCAATTTAATTATGCAAAACGAAGGATATTATATTTTTTATTATTAATATTAGTAAAAATATCTATTTTTCAAAAATTATCTAGAAAATACTTTAGATAATTGAAAAAAATAATTAGCTGTATAATATACCATATCGCTGCAAATAGACTTTATTGTCGCGATTAAATTTTGAATTTAGTTTAATATTAAATTTGATAATATAAATATTAAATTTTTAAATTGTCGCCACTGTTGAAAGAAATCGAAGAATTATATTAATCGGCACAAATAAAAATAAATATATTATTTATTCTCGGAAATTCACTAGAGAAGTAATATCTATTACATATAAAATCGCTTTATATCATAAAAGCACACAATGATATGAAAAGTGCAACTATACATATACATATATACATATATATCTTGATTTAAAGGACTTAAATACACGGAATCCTTGGTTTACGAAACTTTGTCGAGTTTTTATTAAATAAATATATTGCAAAAACAGATTGCTCTTGCTATCTATTGATCATTTATTATGACACATGATAAACTTTATAGAAGACATTAATTTTCTCTTATAATGAATGCCTACCTATGCGGATAAAATTCTGTCGACAACAAAACTTCGTAAAACAAAGTTTCGAGACATAAAACTTGAATCTTCGATCGGAGCACAACAATTGCGATATTTTGACGAAGAGAAAAACAATCGTATATTTCATATATTTATACGGGATAAAAAAGTAACACGCATATTTGAGATAAATAGATATGGAAATACCACTTTTAAGTCGCAAGATTTTCTTGGAAAGTGCTTCTTGTCTTGTTTAATAATTAAATGTAACTCTGAATTCTTATAATCATTTCAACTCGGTCGAAGGTTAATACTTGGGTGACTGTATAAGAAGGTTCAATGATCTTATTATTTCCACAATTGTGCGAACACAACACGGTGTATTATATAGACAAATTATACACAATTTTACTAACAATTAATATTAGAATATTATGAATTCGTCGTACTGTATAATTTAATGTGTGTTAGAAGAAATATTATATCGTTCGCGTGAGATTTATTGAAATGTTTTCTTTTTTTTCATATATAAATTTCCAAAACACAGGCATGTTTTTAAGTTATTTAAAAAAATAGACGCTATACTGACTCACAATCGGATCGATTTTATTTATCAATGTTGTGTTCAATATCTCTGAATATTTTAATAAACACTTTTCATATTGTTACATGCTTTTTTATCTCATTTTAAAATATGAAAAGTATCTTAATAATGAAACTATATTTTATTAGGTACATTGTAAAGATTACTTTAGAGAATAAACATTTAAATGCGACATGCGACACAAGCTTTTAGTTGTTACGTCATATAATGATTATTTTATATTTGCAAAATATAATTTGTAATAATCTTAAAGTCATCCATCGTGTTTTATCTAGCGAAAGGAAAGATTCTTTATTTAATCGAAGAAAACATCAAGATATTACAAGTAATTCAACTTTTTATATTCCTTAGATAACAGTGCATATCATTCCATGAGTGTTATTACTCTAGTAATTAAATATTTAAAAAAGATTATTACATTAAATAAAAGACGAAAAAATTTTTCTAATGTCTTGTATCTATTAAAATTTTCAAGCATTTTCGTGCACATTCGAATATTATATTATATGCTAAACATCAAACAGAAAAGCAATAAAATAATACGCTAAAACTATGCCGTGTTATATAATTCTTTTTTCTAAATATCAACATTTGCGTGCTTTAATTTTGTTGTTATTAAAGCCTTTTTTAAATCTTCCGAAAAATAAATGTAAATATATACATATATATATTTTTTAAATTATGATTATTTATAAACAGCATATAAATTATCTAGATATAAATATAGCATCTCTCACACATACACACACACCATACATATGGTTCATTGGAATTTTTAATTTATAACAATATGCGAAAAAGAAAATATTTCCAAATTGTAAAATTTCGTATATAAATCCTTTAGATTTAAATAATCATTTCAATTTTTTAAATATCTTACATCGGCTTACTCTTAAATTGACAATAATTTTGCGTCTAAATATACACATCAAATATATATCATACAATAATTAAATCTTTTTTTTTTCACGACATTGTTGATCCAACTAGAATTTATTTTTTTTATGGACAATATATTAATTTCATCATACAATTTCAAATATATAATTATCATACTTTCTACGTTTCAGTACGAAATCATTTTTCAATACATCTTCTTCTTAACCGCTGTGTAGCGTTCCATGTAAGTGTCATAACCGTCCAGGTTCGCGAATTGCTTCATTTCAAAGAGATTTCCCTCGAGTGCCAATACCGATATTTTGGAATCCTTGAGAATCCTGAGAGGCACCGAGCTCAGCTGTAGACAGTTTTCCTCCAACCGTAGCGTTTTCAATCGCGGGCATTCCGCCAGCTTTTCGGAGATGGTGGCGATCTGATTCTGATTGAGATTGAGTTCGGTCACGTGGAGGCCAGTGACAGCGTCCGGCACGATCGTCAATCGATTCTTGGACAGATCGAGGACGTCCAGGTGCTTGAGGCCGCAAAACACCAACGGGAAGTCGCAGATCTGATTGTCGGACAGATTGACCTGCTTCAGGTGATTCAGCTTTGCCAGCGACGACGGAATCGACCTGATTTGATTCGCGGCGCAATTTAAACCTTCCAGCTTCGCGAGCGCACCTAGCGTGTCGGGCAAACCGGTCAGCCGGTTGTGACTAATGGTCAGCTGTTTCAGCAGCGTAAAGTCGCCGATCTCATTTGGCAGCGCGGTAAACTTGTTCTCGGATAGGTCCAGGGTGCGCAACAACGGCGCCAAGGCACGGAGGTTTTGCGGGAACTCGTCCAGCTTGTGCTGAGACAGCTTCAGCGTGCCGGTCTTCTTCGCGGTTTCATAATGCTGTTTCAAGCCAGAATTGCCCATGCTGTATCGTGAATCTCACAGACACTGCTTCTCGCCCGAATTATTTATTTAAAATCTCCGAGAATTGTTTCTTTTTTATTTCGCATTAAATAAATTATAATCAATCATATGATTAAATTGTATTTATTCGAGTGCCTTTTTTCTGTCGCAGGAACCGAGAAGAGGAGCGACGGGATGCACACGAAGCTCGAGATGTTTCGCGCGAATTTCGACTCTCGGGCGCGCGCGGTCAGGGACTAACTTTCTACGCGGACTGTACCTCGCCTAGCGCTGTACTTTCGCGGGAGACTGTACCGCGCGCGCGGAGCGCGCTGGCGTAGGGCGGCTGTGTTCACTCCGTCGTCGAGATTTTGGCAGCGCGAACGACCAGCAGCGGGGTCGGCGCGCGAACCGGGCGACCCGTTCGTTAACGCACGCGTATACACGCGACACACGCGACGATTTCGTATCCTCGCACGCGGGCGGACACGCCGCGACGTTCGTTGGCACGCACGGGCACGCGAGCGCGGCACAAATACGCGCACGGGAGTGAAATGTCACGCGATTGACAGCAGCGAGTCCGCCATAGCGCCGCTAGTTCCCGTCCCGGCCGCGCGATGGCGCGGCGCGCGCGCGCGCCCGAAAGATGGCCGACGTACGGGGACGTAGCGGTGCGCGTCGAGTTTACATCAGACTGAAAACACCGCGGCGGCCTCCAGTGCGTAGTTTACGATGCGGCGGTGCGTGGGAATGAGGTGGTGTGCGTGATCACGGCAGGGCAACGCGACGCAACCGGGTAACGATGGCTTCCACGTCCAAGACGGAGAAACACGCAGGTAAGAGATAACCACCCGCTCTCGAACGATGACTGACGCGTGCGAAAGAGAGAGATAGAGAGAGAGGGCGCGTATACGCGAGGAATGCGTGCGATTATTTCTCTCGGCGGGATTCCTTCGAAGAAATGAATGTGCGTGATCTCGATTAATGTATTAATTCGGCACCGATGTCGGTTATCAACATTGACGGTGTGATTTGGCTAATCTTATCGTCATCTGAGCGTCATCGTCGGCGATATCAGTTCGGTGACGCTACCGGACACGAAATGTCAACAGCTTATATGTATCGCCTGTCAAACGTGCACGCGTGATTTTCTTCCCTCGATCCTCGCGGAAAGCCGGATGTTTCTGTGTTTTTCCGTTTAAGATACCCGCCGTATTCGTGTGTGACAGGTGTTGAGAAAGTGCTCCATTAGTTTATTAGCTCGCGACAGAAAAACATTTTCTCTTATCGTGGAATTTTCGTCTCTTTGATTAGTGATTTTATCTTCCGTTTTTTCGCGATTATCGAATACTTAATTAAAGTCGTAAGCGATATTGATTCAATCGATTCGTTAAATTGAATCTAGTCATAAACAATAACCGATATTTTCACTCTGTGAAGCGCGATTAGATTTAATTATGACAAGATTTCACTCAACTTGATAATTTAAGCATTGTAGCACAAACATTTACGGGAATGAAATAAATTTCACTTTTCGTAAGAATGCTCCGGTTTTTTTTTTCATGAAGCGCTATTGTCATTCGTCATTGACTTTAATCGCGAAATTGTAAATATGCGAAAAAAACAGTGGAAGAAAACATAAAAAATGTAAATAAAAATTTAGTTTAGGCAATACATTCTTCTCGCACTATATTCGACAAATTTATAACAATCCTTTTATATTTGTTTATTTTTTTAATTACATTTTTATTTTTGAAATATTTGTGTACAATTATTTGTTGACACGACTATTTACAATCGCAATTTTTGATAAATAATACATTGTATTAATTATTTGACAGAAAAATAACTCATATAAGATGAATCAAAAATTGATTTGTCACTATTTCATTTTCGTCTTCGAAACAAAAGCTGTTGCTTTTCTTTATATTTTTTTTAAATGTATTTTTAATGCAAAAATTGATCGGTCAAAACAGCTAAATTGTGTCAATAAACTATGCACGTGTCTAGACGAGACCCGAATCTGATTCGAACAGCTGGCCGTGTCAGGAGTTTTCCGTTCTATAGTTCGCCCCTTTCGAACAAAACCTACCCTATCCTGTTTCCAATCTGGTCGAAAAGGACTGTATTTTCGTAGTGATTGTGTGCGAATTCTCTCTTTCTCTCTTTGCGTGTCGGTTCTCGTTTCTTTTTAGCCCTCCTTCTCGAACGCGTTTCACGTCATACATTTTTCGGTCCATTATGTTCGTTCTTTAGTTTGCACGTGGTTTTGTTGGCTTGACATACATCTTCTTTCACAAAAAACGAAACTCTTGAGTGCCGAAAATGAGGGTCAAGCTTGTGCAATTCAAAAAAATTTTTCAATAATTCAAAAAAAAATTTTCAATAATTTAAAAATTTAAATATCATTCGAGAAGGCAGGGTAGAATTAATTGTAGTGTGTATGTATCGATCAGTAATTAAATGTAACTTTCGATACATTAAGCACAATAATTATTAATATATAATGAATAATAATAAATTAATATATAATGTATAATCAATATTAATCATTAATATTTCGAATATTTACGATGTTGACATCAAAAAAATAAAATTCCTTTTCTAGTTGGATGTTGTATTTTACAAACGCAACATATTTGCTATGTAAAAAAATCAAAATATTGGAGAAACATCCATTATTCGTATTACATGCAAATTTTCATGCAGAAATCTTTATTAAAATCAGGGCGTCTTAGATCTCGCGCTTAAAATCGAATAATTTAATTTTGATAGTGTAACGCAGGGTGTAACAGGTGTAGTTTATCAAAGTTGATACGTTCGATGTCGAAGGGATATGTGATGGATAGAGATACTTAAGTAAAAGCAGTTTGATCAATTTGCCGGATAAAATTGGCAACGACTAACCGACTTTATCCCACGTCATCTGCTCCGCGTAATTGCGTTTAATTCAAGTTGATCTACTGCAATCGTAACGCGTTTGTTGGTTCGATGGGAAGGAAGGCAAGCGATGCCTTTTAAAGATAATTTCGTTCGATACACGTCCCAATTAATTTAATCACTCCTGAATTGTGGAGGCAATTATTTCGAAGTTTTTTAATAGGAAACAAAAATATCTATAGAATAAATTTGATTATATTCAGAAATATTTTTCGGTGGAAAAAGTTTAATTCTTTTCATCGCGATTATAGTGATTTTCGCGTATTTTTCGCTACTGAAGTAGAAATAATCATTAATACGAGAATTACAAAATTGTCTTGCAAAATTTTGATTGATTTTGATGGCGCGAAGACAGGATCGATAATAATATAAATCCATCGCGATGTAGCCTCCTCCGAAACGCAAACTCGTTAAATTCCAGTTAGGAATGGATCGCGTTGAAATTATTCTTATAGTGGCGAATGTATCGCGTGTGAAATGACGGAACGAAGCCTGCGACGCCATTGAACGCGCCCCGGGAGGTTTTGCAGTAATCTTACGAGAGGGAGAGACGCGGAATAATGAGAAAACGAGAGATGGAAGCGCGAGATCGGGATCTCGTCGAATCCGCTTCATCTCGTAGAATTCTTCTACTTTCTATTTTGTCGCCATTATGTTCATCCAGGCCTTTGTACGCAGTCTTGCTTTATCCGCGTATCGTAGCTTCCTCCCTTCGTTATCCCTTTTCGCGATGGAAAGAGTTTGTCGTCAAAAGCAAAAATGCGAAATTTGCGCCTTCTCTTGCCAGATAATCAGATAAGGTATAATTTACAAATGCTAAAAATCTCTCTCTCTCTCTTTCTCTTTATAATGAAAACAGACTTGCATGTGTCTGCCTAATTGTTAATATGATCTTGAACACAGGATTGGATGCGGAATTTTCGACCATTAATTTGTGAACGTTTGCAAAAATTGTATGATAAATGAAAAGGACCTGCATGAAATGATGGTTAAAATGCCCTACTGTAAAAATATCCTAATTTTTCCCTCGAGAATGAATAAGGGATTTAATGTACGAAGAATTGATTCGTTTAAAATAAATTTGCGCAAGTTCTCACAAATTAATGACCGTTATACTGCATTCAGTTTACAGTCTACTTACAGATATTCCGATTATTATTTCAAAGTAGCGAAATTCTGTTATAAAGAAACGTTTTTTTTTTTAAACGTTTGAATGATATCAGCAGACTTGTAATTAGCGTGACGGAGTTTGCTCTCGTCGATGAACTTTATTACCGTAATTATTGCGCTCTATAAATTTTTAGTACGTCGTAATGTGAAAAGATTATACGCGCTTAAAGTTTAACGAAATGGTTTTTTTTTTGGGGCGCGACGAGCAATATAAGTTGCGTTTAAAAGAAATACAAATTCGCCTACGTGTAATTCATTATTTCTAAGTTGCGGCTCTTTGTGAAATAATTCTACCTTTGATCTATTTTGAAAGTTTCTTTTAAATGGACCGGGTTTCGTGATCGAGCAAAGCATATAATTTAAAGCCATTGAAGTTTGTAAGAAGTGATTTAAAAGTTCTACATAACGCGAACATACAGCGTTCTTTTTTCACATAAAATCAATGCTAATTAAATAACACAATATCCTCCTTTTATCAAAGATTTGTTCGATCTTAATCGTATACTTTTTTTATTATCAAATGTGATTATTCTCAACTCAATATCATGAAAGGCGTTAATAATGAATGCAAATTATTTAATAAAAAGAGAGACAAAAATTGAGATAATTTCTATTAAGTTACAATCTGTTTGTATTTACTCAATTTTCCTATTTTTTGTAATATAATGATTTCTCATTAATATGTGATTTTTCACTGATTGAAAGTGAAATTAACCGAGCATTCGTTCCAAGGGCTAGGATCGTATAAAAGCAATTTTTAAAAAGAGTGATCACCATGTTTTATCGAAGCGACCTCGCGATATTTCAAACTCATTCCGAGACTACTTTGCGATACTTGTGGCACACGTCGTTTAGCGCCTTTATTGGATTCGATCTGTCCGCAAACCGTTTAGGAACCGCAATCATGCGCAGCCTTCCGTTCCTATGGCAGTCCCGCCAATATCTATGCAAATCCGCGGCCCGAGTGTTACAAGCCTCATGTCAACCGGTCGATGATGCAAGGCTCGTGCCAGAAACACGCGGCGATGCACAACGCGCTAACGTTAACTCGCTATTCATGAATATGCACGGCCGTTTTCGCTATGCGGATGCGCAAGCGTGCAAAAAAAACGTATGCACGTGTTAAAACTGGTTCACGCACGTGTGTTCATTCTGTCGATTTTTCGTCTCGATTTCGTTTTAGTATGCAATTTTAAAACGATTGTACAAGTGGAAAATGAAAAAAATACGAAATACTGTCGCTCTGTCAAAATTCGCAAATTGATTTCCTCGACTATACATTTCTATGAATTAATTTATTTTATTTATATTTTTTTATTATTTTTTTATTTTTTAATTATTATTTTATTTATATTATTTTATTATTTTTTAAATTATTTTATTAATTTACTATTATTATTTTTATTTATTTATTTAATTTCATTTATTTATACATATTTATTTTATTAAATTGCGTTCCACGTAATATAATAAATACGGATATAAATATCTAAATTATTTATTTATTTTTAGCTAAAAAAATCATGCCTTGGTATTTTAAAATTTTACACTGTCTTCTTAATCGATCGGCTCTAATTTTATTTTATTTATTTACACCTTAAGTAAAAATAATCTATTGTTTAAATGGAAAAGAAAATTTTATTATTTATGATAACATAATGTGCATGAAAAATACATATATATTCTGCGTTACTTTCATGCTTGCACACTGGGCATCTCGAGATCCATTAGGGCGAGCTATTCACTATCGTTTTCCTATGCCAGCCAATTCAATGTGCGGTGAAAATGACAATGTCGATCTTATAACGCGAGAACGGAGTATCCAAGAAGCTTTTTCTCGTATATTGAGCGTATATAAGCAACGTTAACAATGATAGTCTCGCGCGAGAGCTTTCGCAAAAAGGATAGATTATTAAATTTTCATATTTTTAAAATAAAATCGATATAAGATTAGCATCCAGGTTTAATTCGCTTCAAAAGTTCAGATACTGTCGATTATATAATAATATATGTAATTTTCAAGTAATTAAAAAATGATGCAACTTGAAGAAAAAAAAGACGATGAAATTTCAAAAAATCGATGCGGAAAAATATATTTTTATTCGTCAAGAATTTTCATCGACTCTTATAAATGTTCGATTAATAGTTTCCGATAACGAAAGATACTATTTCGAGGGATACCGTGCTAGCTTAAAAATCCGCAAACAATTTGCCGCTCGTCGGTTCCGTCTCGTATATACCTCGAAATAAAGAGCCACTGCCTCTCATACGAGATCTTTTATTCCTCTTCTCCATTAACCCTCTCACCGCACCATCTCTCCTTCCCTCGTGTGTCTTTTACTTGCCCGTCCCTCTCTCTCCTTTTCCCTCTCTCTTTGACCCGTTAAAATAGACGAGGCTTCTTTCCCGGCCAAAGTCGCAGATATTACCGGCCGATCTCGCCAACGGCCGGGTCCGCGAGAACGACAGTTCACCTCAGATCCGCGATCAAGTTGGTTCTAACTCGTGGACTTGTTCCGGAATCTGTCCGCTTCGGAGGTCATCTTTACGGTTCGGCTCTCTCGCAGACGTAAACGGGCATGTCAGATTCCGTCGAGGCGATTCGTTTCGAGTTCTCTAGACGCGGATTCTCCGCCGCGTTAGTGCGAGTTTCCCCCGTGTGTTTCCCCTGTGTGTTTCCCCTTTTTTTTTCTAACATGTTTCTAACATCGCGCGATTAATTGTGCAGAAATTTAATTTACCTTATAGCCTAACGTTTCGACAATCGAATGCAATTTTTATGACTTTTATTGGTTTAATTACCTCTTATCGACGATCGTCGCGCGATATCGAATACGCGATAAAAATATGAGATAAACGGGTGATCAATTATCGCTACCTATTAGATGTATATTGATAATGGTTAAAAATACGGACGCGACGCTTGCCCGTGTGATAGCGCGGCTTGTAAGCAAAAACGTCAGGAGCGAATAAAAAATCGCGCCAGGTCTCTCGCTCCTCGATTAACGGTGTCGTTTAAAGGGCATCGAAATGTCAATTCGCCACTCGGTGTTGCGTACGGTAATTGCGTACAGATTAAGTGGGTGTTTATCTCGCGCGCGATGCCAGGCATTTTAAAAGGCACGCTCGTGAGACGCGCTGACATCTTTTGCTCGACTATTTTGTAGGATGCGCGACAGCGAGAGTTGATTGATCGCTCGATTAAATGGGAGGCAGTCGAGATACGGAACGCCGACTAAGGAGGCGCAGTTTAATTCGCCTCAGTGTTGTTTGACGTATAATTATCGCGTGAATTGCGACAATGTAACTAATCCATCTTCTAATTAGTTTCACGTGCAGGATGATTCGCAGCGATCGCTCCGTAAAACTAGTAATGTATTTTGTCATTTAATTATTTATATTATTTATATTATTTATATTATTTATATTAGATAAACCGAAAATTAATTCCGCGTTTCTTTAAATTCATTTTATTAATTAAATAAATAGTATCCAGAGAGAGAAATATGCATGTTGAAATATCGAAAAAGAAATTTATAAACATCACTGATGTAACCAATTATTATTTATATCATGTTATGTATTTATTTTATATTTAATTTATTTATATTTATTTATATTTATTTATTTTGTTAAATTGCGTGTCACGTAACATAATAATATAATAAATACAATTAATTAAATATACATATTTTGCAACACGATTATTTGTAGATAAAATCGAGGAAAGATTTTTTTACGTGATATTTAAAAAAGATTTTATACATACGTGGCCTTAATTTCTGAAGATTGCACAGTATCATAGTTATTCGACACATGGATGGCAATTGCAAGATATATACAAGATGATCTCGAAAGATTACGATCGTATTACTCGTGGAGTAAACGGTTCGCAGATTAAGCGATCAAGGCGCGATTAGATGTAGAGATCGTTGCATGTGCGTTTAATAAAAGCGCACAAGTCGCAAACTGAGAGAAGAAGCCGGGGTGTATATTTTGCGCTCGTGCATAAATTTATTCGCGCGTTAATTAATGCGCAGAACATGGCTGCTCTCGTCCCCCGTTCGTCATGCTGCTGTTACGCACCTTTACCGGTGAGATAGGAAAAAACAAAGCAGATTATTATAAAGGGCATATCGCGGATATATTTTTACGCATCGCGTACATTCTGAAGAGAATAATTTAATTGCCGATGTTTTACAAATAAGCGAGAATGATTTATTAATTTTTCGTGTTTATTCATTTTATGAAAACATCTGAATATTTTTTTATTTCGTACCCGATATTGTATTCGAGAGTGATGGTAAGATAATGATAGCGGAATTTTGATCTGTTAAGTAACGAAAAACATCGAAATATATATTTTGTGGCACATATTAATTATTTTACAAATTATATCTTGCTTTGTTCAACGGTGTTTATATTGAAACATAATTTAACATATTTTATAACGTAACTTTTTTTTTTCTTATAATGGTCGACGACGGCGTAATCGGCATATTCGTCATGTGCGACGATAAATTTTTATTTTTTTTACATTATTGCGCTTCTGCCATTTATTTTCGGACGTGAAGTCGTCCGCGGTGTATCGCTCATGCCATTTGAGACGCATCGTCTGGCGCGAATGATAATTTTCAGACAAGCAATCGGCATAAAGTGTAAAGATAGCGGTGCTCGAAATCCGAAAATAACGATGCGACGAGAAATGTAACGTAAATGGGTCGCAAGTTCATCAGTGCTAATTATTGTTAATTACAATATGTTATGCGATCATGATATCTTCATTTCGCATCTTCTTGCTTTCGTGAATAATCGAGTTAATGTCATTGATTGAGAGAAAGAAAAAGAAACGGGATATTTTAAACAAAATTTATCAATATATAAAAGATATTTCTTGATTATTTATAAGAAATAAATTATAAAAAAGAGATTAATAATTGAAAATTGTTACAACAAATTACATAATTATATAGTAAATAATTAAATATATATTAATATAAATTAAAAGTTATTTTTTCTAAAGTTTTAAATAATTTTTCTTCTTTTACATCGTCTAATCAATAATACATAATTTTATTAGACGCGCACACGTTGTTTCATTAATAACGAGACGTAAACAAAATGTTATACAGGAAATATGTTATTTTTATCGGAGTGGATCCCGTTTGCATGTTTCATCGGTGAAAATGCGATGTTTTTAAAAGAGAAGCGGAATTCAACAACTTTTTACACAATATAGAATTACATTATAAATCTCGTTTTTCTCAATCACAATTTTATTCTTAAAACATAAAAATATATATTAATTTTTTCAGATTAATAATTTTTATTTTAAAAATATATTAATAGAATGTGACAAATACATGATTATACATATGTAAAGTCCATATGTTTTAATATAGAAAAATACCGTATATCATATTTTCACAAAAATTCATGCTCGCAATCATCTTTTAGCCGCTATCTCTATTATATAGAACGGCCTTTAACGGGAACCGAGCTTAGTCTAAAATTTGCATCAAAGCCTTTGCTTATCGTTGTCGAATATAATGTCTGGAGAAAATTCGATAATTTTATTAGAGATACACAACAAGTAGTCCAGAAGAACTGTATCTGGCCCTTGTGCTTATCGTACCGTGGCGCGAGTTACACGACCGACCTCCTGGTACCGTATCGGATTATACACATCATTCTGAAAGTAGTAAAAGCAATGTAGGACCTCGGTAGGTGGTCGAAAGGCGGAGGAGAGGTCGGCTTCTCGCTCCAGTAATCGCGAATCGTTTGTTCCACGAGATACTGATATACCTTCAAGAAGTTTGATAGTCTTCTTTGGTCGATTCTTGCCGCGAGGATGTATCAATTTTTCGATGCGAGAGATTCATATCTAATATTTAAAAAAAAAATAACAAGTATTTTTCATAAATGTTGGATAAAATTAATTAAGCTTGCATGATTCTTTGTCTTTTTATTTAATAGAAACATTGTTTACTAACTATTAATCCGACACGTGATTCTAACATATTTAGTTATCTTTTGACACATTTTATATATTTCTTTAAATATAGAAAATAGAATCTAAATATACTATCCTTTTAATATAAAAGCGAAATAAGAAAATTATGAATATTGATATATCCTTAAGAAATTGATGATTCTTTTCTTTGATCGATATTCTTGCCGCGAGGATATGTCAATTTTTCGATGCGATGCGAGAGATTCGTAATATTAAAAAAAAAATAACAAGCATTTTTCACAAATATTGGATAAAATTAATTAAGTTTGCATGATTCTCTTTTTATTTATTAGAAGCATTGCTTACTAACTATTAATCCGATATGTCATTCTAATAAATTAAAATTTAGTTATCTTTTGACACATTTTATACATTTTTTAAATATATTTTATTTTTTATATATTATATTTTATTTTTTACACATTTTATTTTTTTAAATATAAAAAATAGAATCTAAATATACTATCCTTTTAATATATACGTTAAGTATGTAAAATCAAATGTAAAATATATTAATATATTTAGTGCATGATTTCATTGTCTCCGCATTCCGATGTTTATGAAACTATTAATAGCAATCTGTACAAGATGTTTCAAGATTTTAAGAAAAAAAATAAGAAAATAGATAAAGCAAACGGGGAAGCAATGACTATCGAATCGTCAACGTCTTATCGTTCTGTCAAGGTTTAAGTCAACGTGAACTTTGCGAGAGAAATTTTGCGCGCTATCATGCCACGTGCGACAACTTTGAGGAACGGAGCTATTGCTGGCACTTGTCGCGACAGCCATTTAATGGCGTCACGATAAGTTTACGTCTGACACATATTGCGGGAACGACGCGGAAGCGCTAGGATGGTAGAAATCGTGACGGAACATCCGACGCGTTAAAATAGACACCCTAGAAACTGACGCCTTGGTATTAGTCACCGCTATCTACCAGCGGCACAGGAGTAACCGAGGTCGCGCGACGCTTACATCTACATGTGTATATATCGTATGTCGTCTGCACGTGTATATTTAGGTCTCCTGTCATCGGTCTCGGCCGATCTATGAACCGTGATTTCCATTCGGCGACGTTGCCCTTTTGATCAGAATTATCAAGGCGACGCGATTGCATCAGTGACCGTAATAAATTCGTTACGTAGAGAATGTTGTATGTATTTTACTTACATGAGAGAAACAGAAAATAATTATGCTGTATGAAATATCTGCGATACGTTGATTAAATTATCGTCATTTTCGATCATTTCGATTTACTATTCAATTACTCGACGTATCGATATTACCGATTAACGGGCGGATGATAGGCCATCCGATGCATACCGGCTATATCTGTATGTTGGAACATGAATTTTTGGAAAGATAGCAAAATGAATTACCGTCCGCGAGTCGATTATCTGTTTCAGATAGAACCCGTTTGTCGCGTGCGGTATTTTTATGGGGCAATATTGATCACGCTACAGTACATTCAGAGTCATTCAAGCTTGTGATTCCCTATATGTATCCATCGATAACCGCAGTCTTGTCATGCCATTTAATATAGTCCGATGTATCCGTAAAAAAAAATCAGCGTCTCGCGAACAGACCTAGACGTATAAATAAATCGAATCGTCCTGTCAGCGATAGATTCGCTAGAAGAAAAAAAAGGGACATCGATAACAATCTTATAAATTAGAATTTTTTTTATTAACGTGCGATGCAAAATTATTTTTCTAAAAAACCTGCAAAAGTTATTAGCGTCAATTGCTCGTACATGTAAAGTGAATGTTGCTTCTGGCATTTCCCTATTTATCATACTTATGTTTTATCGACATTTTTTTCCGTCAACGCGCGATACAAAATTATTTCTCTAAAAAAACTGCAAAAGTTATTAACGTCAATTGCTCGTAGATGTAAAGTGAACGTTGCTTCTGGCATTTCTTCAATTATCAGACTTATGTTTTATCGACTCTTTAAGATTAAAAATTCAGGATACATATAATTATCGACGATTAGTCGTGAATAGTGCAAAAGTGACGTTGAACAGTGAAAGTGCATTGTGAGATGGGAGGAAATTAAGACTAATTAAATTGAATTTGTGAAAATGTCATCGCGATTTGACGTCACGAACCGCGACGAAGCGAAATCAAACTTGAGAATGAATCGATTTTTCGCGGTGACGTTATAATAATATAACAAAAACACATTAAAAAAAAAATGCCGCAATACGATGACAGTTTCCTCGATTCGCCGATATTTCGACGACGAACTCGCAGTTATACCGTGCAAAAGCGGTTTTTGCCGAAATCGCAATCTTTTCACATCACGACCACACCTTTGCTGCTGGCCGTAACCAATCACGCCAGGACTCTTTCCGGTTCCTTGTCGACTTACAACTTGAAAGGTAATTCCATTAAAAAAATCCAGGTTAAGGCCGGAGGTGTTTTTTTTCTGTCACTGTTCAAGAATAAGGAATGCAAAAAGTTGAGAGATATTTTCTACTAATACCTTTTGCGTTCATAAATTTGCATTATTTGTCGCATCATCTTGAAGGAATAGAAAAGAGAAATGAAAAATTCAATCTTATTAAAAGATGAATAAATAAGTACAATTATTCCTCAAATATTCTGAAAAATCGTAATTTCTCGGAATATTTGAGGAATAATTGTAGTTATTTATTCACCTTTTAGTAAGATTGAAAGCAATTTTTCATTTCTCTTTTCTCTTCCTCCAAGATGGTGCTACAAATAATGCAAATTTATGAACGCAAGATATCAAGTCGGATTTAATTTCTTCATCAATTTCTCGCCGTTTGGACCTTTTTTGCGACAGCCGATACACGTGACATGCGTATCGTCGAGTTTATTCATCGTATTTCGGAATCGAACTGATGTCACGTTCGGGATAAACGGCTGCTGTTTATTCTGCCAGACGCATTGGCGGATTTAAATAATTGCATCCTCGTAAGCGCGTTAATAATTAACGCCTACGTCGTCTGCATTACCGCGTTAATCCTTACGCGAATACGACTCGGCTCGTGTAATTACTAGTTCGTTTGCTGTCAATCATATTAAGCATCGCACGCTCGTCGCAGGTACATCACACCTCCGACCATTAAGCGCCTAGCTTACACACGACGTCTCTCTCTGTCTCTCTCTCTATCTCGCATAACGGATACATCGTCTAGTGATTTCCCTCTGGGCTCGAGGCACGAGCAAATTGCTCTACGCTCGCTCTCTCGCGTGAGATCCGCCATTGCGTGGAACCGCGAAATGCTTTCGATTTGCAAGTTAATGGACGAAATGATTTTCCGCGGGCGTCTAAAGATCGCGGACGATTATAATAACATGGAGCTTTAATGACAAACCGAAAGATAATTAACATTGTATGGAGACGTTGGCAACCTACCTTAAGGTGACGAGACATTGATTAGAGATTATTGATTATTTAAAGACATATACGCGCTGATAACTTGAAATTGCAAAAATGTATATATGTATATATGCAGAATTGTTTCCAAAAATATAGAATGTTCTTTTAATATATTTTTCTCGAACCAAGTTAAGCACAGTTTTTTTCTTGACAAAAATATCAAGAAATCAATCATTTTCAATTATAAAAATACATTTGTATATAATTAAAGTTAAATTAAATAAAATTATATTTTTTAGTATTAATTTCAGATATTCATATTTAATTTAATTTAATAGAATTTAAATTGGGAGAGCCTTTAAATCTCTCGATTAACTTATATTTTTATATTATACAGAGATCACGAATTAATTACAAATGTATAATGGAAAAAATAATCGACATTTTCACAAAACAAAAATCGATAACTCCAAATTAGCCGGAAAATTCGTTTAAAAAGATATTTGATAGGACTTTCGGACATACATATATATTTTTTAACTGAAATATTTTATTATATTTTTTTCTATTATTTGTTGAAGTTATCGGATTGATATATTTCATCCATTTATTTGATTTTCCAACTGTATTGGTTTTGGAGTACGAGGCTATTCACATGAATAGTCATGTACGCGAATTGTTTTTAAAGAAGCTGCATACGGAGGATATCCTCGCTTGAATGGATCACAGGAATAGAATCTTGACACGTGGATTTTCGCTGGCATACATTTGTTGCGAACTTCGAGATGACACTATTTTAATTAGAGAGTATCCAATTAATCTTGAGTAATATTATATATTTTTAAAAAATATGTTTCGAAATTTCAAGTTTTAATAACTTTTTAATCAAAAATAGCTTAATTGAAATATTATTTCAATTTTTTTGATAAGTTTGATTATAAAAAAAATATATAAATTTGATTGAAATATGATTGAAAAAAAATCAGAGAGAAATATAACGGAATATGCCATATTGTACATATTTTATGTATTAGTTTAACGAGATGACAGAAAAGAACCGGTAAAACTGAAAAAATTGAACAATATGCAACAGTACTGTTACGAAGTTTGCCAAGTTTCCTCACCTAGATTGGCACACGACAACAGTAAAGTCTGCCAAATAGTTTCACAAGTATTCATCCACTACACTTTTCACGCTGACAAATGTTTAAGTCATTCCTTATGATTGTCGCTAAGAATATATATTACGATTTCTCCCGAAGACTCGTCAGCCACGCGTCAGACACAAGCTTCAATATGATGTAATCATTTAAATCACGTCTTAAAAATTAATGGCTTAAACATTAATCACCTGGATCATCATCTGTCGAAACTAATAGAATATCGAATTCAATTTTGTAGATTGGACATTCATACGTGTTCCTTATTTTAATTATTCCAAACAGATACACGGATAATCTCCGTATGTCGGCGGATATAAATTTGAGTTCTCGCCGAGAGATTTAAAGACGCAATTTTAAGGTCCGTGACTTTTCGATCGGCTCGCACGAGATTCGCTAATTTCGTCGGTCAATGTCACTCGCAGGCCGCCGCAGCGGCTCATTTTCTCTCCCGGTTCTGACGTGTCAGCCGCGGGCAATATCCGGCGGGACCGGTTGTCACGGTACTTTAGACCGGGGCTTTTGATACCAGAAATTTAACCGGATAAATTTACCGGGATTCGTATATAAACGGCGGGGTAATACATGCATGGCGTGTAGTTGTTATTATCATCGTCGCCGCACGCGCGTGTAAGTCGGCGTTTGATAAACGCGAAGCGGAACGGCCAGTCGTAATTACCGGCGAAATAAACTTTGTCAGTGCCGTCCTGGAAATTAAACCGGACGAAATTTATTCGAGCGTCAATGACATTGCAAATTTCGCAATTTCGCCAACGAACGATTCGGACAATATATTTGCACTATGCGTGAATCGATAATACATAGCTTTCGTATAAGAGATTTAGTGTTGTTTTATTATTTAGATTTATAATAATATTCTCAAGATGATATAATCTACGATAAAAGAAAGAAGCATACAAGGCATCTTATATTAATTGACGGAAAACGAATATACAGAGTATTTCTTAATAAGTGCGAAAAATCTGAGGAGATGATTATTTGTCGAAAATTAAGCGGAGTTTTTCACATAAATATCATATACTCCTACTTTCCTCCCTATGGAGTTACAATTCTTTAAAAATGGGGGTAAAAATAGCATAGATTTCGAATTACGAGAAGTTAAATTTAAAAATAAAAATAAAATTAGAATAAATGTTAGGAAAATTGGAACAAAAACAAAATTGTAATAAAAACCGAAAAACTTAAAAAATAAAAATTAGGTTTTTATTCGAAACCTATGCTATTTAGCATCGTGCTATGCACGATAATGTATTTTATTTTTTTTCTTGAAAACTACTGATTTTATGAAAAAAGTAAAAAAATAAAAAAGTTTCTAAATAAATCAAGCTTTTGCATATTTTTAGATGATCATATTCCGGCCCAATAAAAAGTTCTAATAAAAATCGAATAGGGTTGCTAATTTCATCCCCTTATAACAATACAGGAGACTGAAAAAAATATTAATAAATAACCTTTTTACTAGTAGAAAATATCCACCTAATTTCATTTCTTTTACTTGTTCCAAAAAAATAACCTAATTTTTATCCCCATTTTTGGAGGAGTGTAACTCCACAGGAAGGAATGTAGGAGTACATGTTTATATGAAAAACCCCTCTTAATTTTTGACAAAGAATCATCTCCTAAAATTTTTCGCACTTATTAAGAAACATCTTGTATAACAATATTAATTTCTTTCAATTTTTACATATTATTGAAATTGGAAATTATATTAATAAATGATTTTGAAAAATATATGAATGCGGACTGTTTAAATTATTGTCTCATGACGATTTAAAGTTGCAAAGAATTTTGTTTCTCTTGAAAAAAGTTTTAAAAAATGCTAACTGGAAGGAGCGAAATAATACAGAGACTATTAGATTTCTTTTCTGATAAATCTTGTCCTTCTTTTAGAGATGTTCTGACTATGTTGAAATAAATTCGATGGCTCGCTCTTTCCGACTTTTTTTCCAATGCATCGCTAATTCTTTGTTATTAAGTCTTTGTGCTTCTTATTAAAGTAAATCCATATTCATGAGCGGAAAGAAGGAGAAGGCTGCTTCTGTGCATGAGGCTCTTTCACAACATTCGGCAAAACTCTTCCTGTTGTAATAAATACACTCTCGACGAAACTCTCCTGCAGCGGTTTAATCCGCATCTGAGAAGACTCGCGTAGGATTGCCAAGAGCATCAGGAGGGGGATTTTCATGAATAATAATCTGCCGCGGAAACGCGATGTCAATATAAATGTACAAGCCAATCCCCTGCATTGGATATGATAAGAATAATTATTCGCCTCGTTGCTTCTTGCTGTTTAAATCGAGATATTTCTCTCAATTGTAGAAACTCTGCTTTCAACTGAGATTCAATATACAGGAAATTATAAATTAAATTTGTACTGTTTCATACACATATATACATACACGTATTCGCTGTCGATTGAAATGATTTTGCGGTATAATCTACTTTTGCATTGTGTAAGGAATTATGAATAATATCTCGAGTCAAAATTTTTCTCCTACTTTCGACTTTAATCTAACGTTTGCTTTGATGCCTTAGCAATCAGATCACTATTTTGAAATCATTATCTATAGTTTTGCTAAAAGAGCTTCTTTTTTCTTCTTCTTAGTAGGAAATTGTTTATTTATTATCTATTTTTAGGTGCAAAATAAGAGCTTAATATAATATAATTCCTAAAAAAATGAATCCTCCAGAATTTATAGATATAAAAAAAAATGAAAAATTGAAAATAAAAATAAAATTTCTATTTAGGATTATAAAACAAGCATTTATTAATTTATATATTCCTATCAAACAGAGATATTTTATAAGAAACACAATTTTACGAAACATCTTGTATAATAAATCTTATGAA